ACCGACAGGCATAACACACTCAAACAAAGCCTTGACCTGACGCTTACCTTGAAAGCCGGACGTCGCTCTGTGTGCTTGAAGTGAAATTTCTGTTCTGTATTTAAGCTTACCCTTTCGGGTCTATTCCTAATAAGAAGTCCTAATCAAGTATACAAATATCAAGTGAACAATGATCCGGTTATGGATCTTCTTGTATGCCAAGCGTCGTCTGCACCGTCGCATGAGCATCTTTAACGGTCCGCGCCCCTGTCCCAGACGGTGAACGTGTCTTCCAAAGGTCGCTGAGTATTCCGCGAACTCATCCCAACCGCCACTGAGGGTTCGTACCGTAGATGGTCCGCTGAATGCGAATCCGGCCAGTCCATTATTAATAATAAGGACAGCCTGGATTCAGTGACATAGGGCCGTATCCGATACTTGTTGAAAACTCGGAGGTGACGCCGTCGAGTCCCTTGCACCTTGGCGTCTCCGTACATCACCTGACCGAGGGTTCGTCGCTTGAACAACTTGGGTGGTGTCACGTCTTTGTCGACGGGTGATAATCCGCAACTACGGCGAAATCTCTACACCACACAGTGCATCGCAACAAAGAAGAAATGATGCCAAATTACTTTAATAATTAAACTGGAAGTAACTCTTGAATCCTTACGGTTTTACAACGTTGTCAGCTGGTGACAGGGGCGCGCGCCTCTCGTTTTTTTCATGTCGAAAACCTGGATGGAGCACAGCGACGCCTTTTACATGCAAAGCACATCTGCATCAACACACTTGTATTACATGTAACCGAGCATGATTCGCATACAGTGTAGCAGTACTATTGGTTGCAGCTAGCTCTGAATACGTAGGAAAGGTGTTCCGCGACGAGAACTGTGCTCAACAGCTCTAAGGTAGGACACTTATCTGAAGCGTTTTGCTCACTGGAAGTCTCGCTGGTGCCGGTCACCGTAGATGCCGTGAGCATGAGCGTCGATTCGAGAGGCGGTGTCTGGCGCGTGCCTCGATCCAATCACGCCGCTATTACGCGTGCCCTTCAACGTCCACTTTTAAGTCTCAACGGGAACGAACAGCAAAACCAGGGAAGCCAAGCACAACCATGCATGCCGTGCCTCGTGACCCTGTAGCCTGAACCACCAGCTTTGCGGTGATTTTTAAGCTACATTTATCTTCACGTGGCAAGTGCTCCAGCTATAGCTTGCTATGTAGCTTTAAGCAGCTCTCATATACATGTAGGTACTCCAGCAAAAGGCTCAAGCTGTACTGCGACCTCGACAGTCGAGTTGACTAGCATAATGGTGCCTAACTGATTAGATTTGTAAAGAAGGGCAAATCTCATGATTTATCTTGAAACCACAAGTTCTTCAAAACAACATGTACAGCGGTATTGATCCCTACTCTTGGAATACCCTCCGACAGTAGTAAAATGTCGGCAAGCAATTGGCATTTTATCTGTGAAAAAATTAAAAGGAATACTTGGACACCCCATGATAGGAATTTGTTGATTACCGGTGCTATGACTTCTGTATGGAAAATTTCCATTGGAACGTTGCCCTGTCACACTTTCGGAAGAGTCCTCCCTCTCTGCGGAGATTAGAAGGTTAATCTTCACGTTCGGATACAGTGTGCACTGTGCAGGTCATCTTGCGTTACACATCTCGCGGTCACCAAGTTGTCGGATGCAATGCCAGCAGGTCCATTCATCTCCACACTCAACGTCGCCTTGGTTTAAAACTTCGGTGAAGCTCATTTCTCGATCTTCCAAGCGCAATGGAGGCTCCTGAGCAAGTCAAGAAGAATTCGTACGCAGAGGTCAAGTCACCCAATGTGAAGAATGCCATTTCGCTTGGTCAGCGCGAAAATGGTGCTCTGCGTGCCCCTCGTGGCTCCGTGTCTGTGTATTCGCTGGAGTTACCTCGCGTGTCTCGGTTCTAGTGCCCGTGTACTTCCATGCACAGGGTACGTGTCTCTTAGATCGCTCGCGTGAGTCCAAGGCTGCTAGTCGTATCTCTGGTGTGGGCATTAGTCCTGGCGAAATGCGCGTTGGGAGACTGGCGGATGCGTACGTGTATGGTGCACTGTCGATTTTATCAACTTCGCAGCTAGCATTATCCCAGGTATTCCCTGAGCTAAGTGACGACTTGGTGCGCCCAGATCTGGTCGAGGTTGGCACGGTATTTCCCAAGGAGCAGCAGTACAACGATGAAGGCGTGTATGCTGTGCGATTCTGGCGCAATAACCGCAGTCGCGTAGTTGTTGTTGACGGTGAACACACGGAGAAACTGGATGAGTGCCGACACTCGCCAACCAAAAGAGGGGTAAAAATTAAACGAGTATGCCCAAAAATAGTACTATTCGTCGCCAACGCTTAGAATTTGAGAGCCCGTTGTCGACGAAAAGTGGCTACATTATACAAATAGCCATCAGAGAAACTCGAGCTACTGGGGCAGCATGCGCCCAAGCTTTCCTCCATCAGGCTACGCAATTGTGTCTCTTCAGCTGGAGACTACAACGATTGACGCCTTACTAGCCGAAGCTAGAACACGCACATACACCCCTGTTTTTCGAGAAGTTGGAGGCGCTAGTGATGACCCATTTCGGAGTCAGTCACGCGCCGTACGCATGACCTCTACACTACGTGTAGCTGCCAAATCAATTCAAGAGGAAGCATTAGTCCGCGACGAAAGGTACGTACCTTGCGTATTTTCCTACATGCACTCTCGTCCTGGTGGAGCTGCTCAAGAGGTCCATCAAGATTACACGGCCGAAGTGGGGGCTTCTATCGAGAACAAGTTTCCTGGTACACTTCCTGCGAGTGTTATTGTGGCATTGGAAGAAAACACAAGACTACGCGTTTTCACGGGGTGCTTCGAATACCCGAGCGCTCGAAAAGAAGTGGTATTGAGCATACCTCGCGGTTATGCTATCGTCTTTCGTGGAGATCTATTTCATAGTGGGGTTGCATTCAGTACTTCAAACTACAGACTTCATTGTTACCTATTTTTCAGAGGTGAGAAATGGGTCCCTGATGTGGTTTTTAACACGTTTTTGTGTGCCAATTTTGGCGGGCACACTGACAGCGTTTCGGATCGTATTCGCCAGCATCGGTACTACTGCGAAAGCAATCCAGCCGCAGAAGAGCACCGTCTATTACGACGAGAGAGACAGAACCGCCGCGATGAACTACCTTGTGCCGAGTGTGATATGATTTTCTCAGTTGCAAGTACGTTGCGCTCTCATGTTGCTGCAATACACAGATAGATGATCATTAAAAATTAATATCATTTCGTTGGATGCATATTTGAAGCTGGCTATTTAACTTAACTATCATTTCATTGGATGCATATTTGAAGTTGACTTCAAGTTGACAAAAAACATTACTAAAAGTTGACATAAAACTTAACTTAAAGATCCAATGTAATAGTAGCGCAGGTAGAATTAAAGTGCGAAGTATACAGATGTAATATTGGACTATCATTTCATTGGATGCATATTTGAAGTTGACTTCAAGTTGACAAAAAACATTACTAAAAGCTGACATAAAACTTAGCTTAAAGATCCAATGTAATGGTAGAATTAAAGAGCTATGGCTTTCGTGGCAGTAGCAGCTTGCCCTGCGTTGTTTCTGCTACTTTCTGGTGCTCACTATCCAAAAAAAGCTTGTTCGCGAGAGCTTGGAAGGACGCGTACCTGCTGCTTCCTTCTCCGGTGTCTTGGACTGGCACCTTGGTTTTCTGACGCGACGATGTAGAGGTTTGCGGACGCTCTGACGTGGGCTGAAATTGTTGCTCGAGTTTGTTGAGCCGGTAATGCTGGTTGTTGAAAGTCTGCAACAACTGGTTGACGATGCCGTGCAGTCGATCAACGGATCCAAGAAGCTCGCGATTCTCCTGCAGGATGCTCTGCATCTGCATCAGTTGAGCTTGGTTGATTTCGACTTGGGTGGTGTCTGTGACGGGCACTTCTACTGACCGTACAGCAAGGTGAACCTGCTCTAGCTCGCTGAACTTATGAAAGAAGTAGCTCTGCAATCTGGAACTTTGGTCCACTTCTCGCTTGAGCTCTTGATTAAAGTGGGCGCGTGAATCCTTCAGCACCTGCTCGGCCTTGGCTCTGAAATCGAAGAGCTCGTTCTTGTGCACCTCTAAGCAGCCATCCAT